TCGAACCAAGCTTGGGTCAAGTTGATCCAAGCACATATTACTGCGATCATGAAAAACCTTTACGAAGATACATGACCAAAAACTGATGATTTTGCAGCAATTGCGGGTAATGTTGATAGTTTTGCCAGGACCGTGTGAAGACATTCATGATTTCACCAAGACCGCAGACAAAGTTCATGATTTTGCTGTGAACCCAAAAGATGATAATGATTTACCTGTGACCGTGGAAGATGCGTTTTAAGATTTTGTCGTGACAGCAGATGATTTTCGTGATATCCCCGTGACCGCGGGAAATGTTATCAATTTTACTGTTACCGCAGGAAGATGTATACGAATTCGTCATTTTGTTGTAACCAGGGAAGACGTTCATCATTTTCCTGTGACGGCAGACTAAAACAAATTTATCCTGACGGACTTTTAAAATTCCCGCGTAGCTCCTAGTTTTCCTGGTAAAATAAATTTACACATAGTTCTCGGTTTCACCCAAAATTTCTTGTCTGTGGACACCCTGTGTTGCACTTTAAGCTCAAAAAGTTTAAATTCCATTTTTTAGCTCCTGAACTGCTTAGTATAGACTAAAATAAAACATACCTCGTCATGCAGTTCAAACTTCAAATAGTGTGTTTTTTTAATCCACTACATGTTTCGCCATGTTGGCATTTTCAAGTGGTATACAGAAACATTAAAACATTATGCCATCCGAATTGGATTTGTCAAGTTGTAGAAATTTACATTTACACATAAAACTGTACATACATTTAACACGCACGAACTAAACATTTTCATGTATGCCTACAACACTTATTGCAACCCGATCACCCGATCTGAGTTCTGTCTCTGTCAGTGCCGTGATCGGGTTGCAATAAGTGTTGTAGGCCTACATGAAAATGTTTTGATCGTGCGTGTTAAATGTATGTACAGTTTTATGTGTAAATGTAAATTTCTACAACTTGACAAATCCAATTCGGATGGCATAATGTCTTAATGTTTCTGTATATCACTTGAAAATGCCAACATGGCGAAACATGTAGTGGATTAAAAAAAAAACACACTATTTGAAGTTTGAACTGCAAGACGAGGTATGTTTTATTTTAATCAAAAAGTTTGTCATTTATTATAATCACAACCGTCTTTTTTAGTTTCTAAGCTATTAATATTTATCACTCTCTTACATTATGTTCCTAAACCATAATTTTTAGCGAATTTTTTTTCTTGGCAAATATGGAAGAGATCACATATATTATCACACTTTGAAATTATATCATGTCTCATGCACTCCATTTCCGACTCAAGTAAAGAGAAATGTTCTAAAGGTCAAACTTAAAAAGTGTTGAAAAGATAGTAAAAAATTCTGTCAAAATGTTGACTTGAAGCTGCTTTCGGCATCAAGGGAGGGGAGGATGGGACTTAGACAGATCCGAGGGGAATCAAAGACCACAAGGTAATATGCAAGAGAATAATATATTTCCCGAAATTACATTGAGTGCCACAACCACCTTCTCCTGGTAACCGACTACGCTAACACAAGCTCGGTTTGACTCAACTCCGATTTGTCTAGGTACCTCCCGTCCTTTCAGCCCGTCTTCTGACAGAATTTTTTTATGAAAAAGAATTGAAAAAAAATTATAAAAATGGAAAGAGAAATAGAGATCAGAAGTATGATAACGAGCAACTTACATATATTGGCTCCGTAGTGCTTCGTTGAAATGCAAAACCGGTTAACAGAAAATGACGAGGTGAAAGAATGAAGAAAGTACCCAGAGCAAATTCACAAACAGACGTAATCATAATGGAAGCTCAGCTGAACTCACCGTCAATAACAATAAATAACGTAATTTAAATAACAACATTGATAATACATGTAAAATTAAACTAGATAAACTTATAATATGTGTCATGGTACTAAAAGCTTTGGCTAAGATTAAAGAAACCTAAATAAACCTATACCTTATAAAGGGTAACAATGAATTCAAGCAAAGAATAACTCGGAATGCAATAATACATAGCTTAAGGAAAAGTAGAAAATAAATGCTTTTTTAAATAAATGCAAGGCTTTGGATGAATATTAATGTTTACCTTCTGGCGTTTTATTTGCAGCAAATTTTTGACATGCTTTGTCAACACAGTGACATCTTCAGGCATCCACTATGGCTTCCTCATAACAATTCACGCTCCAAATAGGAACGCCAGAAGGTAAACATAAATAATCATAATACTTGACTTCCAGTATTCCAATGTTTCGGATATCTAGAATACATGATTTTATTTATTAACGTGATGAAAAATATTTATTTGTTAACTTTGATCAAACATATAAATCCCGGAACCACATTCATTGAACAATATTCAATTCTTGTCTATCGGATCCAACAAATTTCACATAAATAGTAGACAACTAGTGAGTGCTAAAAAACCAACTGTGTGAGATATCATTGTAAACATTCAGTGAACACTCTACTATCCAAAATAATACTGAGCGGAGGGATGTTAAAATACTTGTAAAATATACTTGCAAAATAGGACTTTTGTAAATTTAAAATAAAAATATTAAAAGAATATGACGGAACTTTTTTAAATTTTTCAAACAAACTAGTTGGAAATAAGTATAAACTTACAAATAATACTCTGTGGGAAATACAATTGGATTAAACTATATCTAACTCTCATTAGAATTAAATAAAAAAAAAGAGATAAAAGTGTGAAATGTTGTTAATAGTGCCACATTTAATATACAATACTCTGAAACACTGAAAATTAATAGCACAAGGAAACACTTTAGCATGCTAGGTATTTATGCTAAAAACTTGGAGAAAATTTGATATTTCGTTGTTAATTCTTGTAGCCCAATTTGTTATTACAACTTTTTTCCAACTAATTATGAATTTGAAGAAAAAGGGAAATAGATTTTGAAAATTATTATCAATTTCTTCCGCAACATTTGAACGGCAATGTAAAACCAAAGTTATTTTAACAGAAAAAGAAAAAAAAACAATTGCATGTAGTTTGTCTTAGACGAAAAATTATAAAACTTTCCTATAAGATCAGTGGTTCAAATTCTGATATTAAAAATTATACAATGCATCGGGATGGTTACAATCACAACAACACATCTAGAATACATAGTATCAGGAACAATAAAATTATAATACAATAACTTACGATGACTAATACGGACATCATATTAAAATAAATATCTGTTAATACCCTGGCAAAACAAGTTCAATAAATAATACTATTGGGTGGGAAAGTAAATAGCACTGTGCAATAAAGTAAAAAAAAAAATTAATGAGGTTAAGAACCTCAATTTGTTTTAAAAATGTGATGATAAGTTCACTTGTAGCTTGGAAGACATCTGTTAAAATATTTCAATTAAATTATTGTAGAGCACACAGTATGCAAATTCTGAATCCTGTATATATAAGTTATCAATATACCAATAGCTACAGTATCAAAGTAAAGCTATTGATTCAAGTTGAAAATAATTTTCAATCATATTAAAATAGTTTCCCCTGCTTTTAAAAAAATATTGCTTTCTGCAGGTGGCTCCTTAAAAAAGTGATTGTCAATCAAAATTTTCTTGAAATCAGTATTTCAGTAAATGTGATCAAAAAGTTAGATAGTGAAAATAGTTTTTTACAAAGTTTAACTTATAGATAGTATCGAAAAACTTATGTTTCTTTCTTTTAAAGCATCAAACAGTAGAAATTTATAACAGTTTTAAAAGAGGTAAAAAGTAATTAATCGTTTTTATGTAAATTTAATTTGAATATTATAAGTAAACTAATCCTACTGACATAATAATACCATTGAAAATGGAGATAACTGAAAATACATAGGTAAGGAAAAATATTTTAAGAACACGGTTGATACATTTTACACTGCAAATTATAAAATTCAGGTAAGCGAGGCGAACGTAGCAAATATAAAGGCAAATATAAGTTCATTATGATCAAATAAAATAAGTACTTACTCACATAAGAATAAAAGTAAACAAATCATATCACAATTTTTCCATGTTAAAAGATAAATCTTTATGGACATATTTTTTTTCAAATCTCAAATTAAAATATTAGACTACAATGCAGCTTAATTTTTTAAAGATAAAAATGTATTCCCCATTACCCAAACAGATGCTATTGAGTGTTTGCTAATCTATGCACAACAGCAAATGACTTTTCTAATTTTGAGCATGTTAACAAAATATGAATCTAATACTAGTGTCACAAAACAACAAACGTAACAAGCGGTCAAGTTTATGTTCCTTTTGTTTTTTACATCCTACTTGAGCTTTAATATGTTTATTTTGACTTTTTTATTGTGACAAACTAACATCAGATAGAAAATACAATTGCCGCTTAAGCTGTGACTATAGTGATAAAATTGTGAATTTTGGTATTACACAAAACACAAGTGGTTAAGGAAATGCTTTGGTAAAAACACCCTTTGAAAACAAATAAATTATTGCATTCCCTTTACCATCAGCGGATTTGAGAGGGTTTTGTAATGGTGGATGAGTCAGATAGTAACAAGACCAGGGTTTGTACCGTTTCCTTTCATTACGTAAAAAATGTCATTGTCACGTAGAAAACACACAAAATTAAAATAAATAAAATATAAAAATTCCTATCCTCTTAAATAGCATTACTGAGACAGATATTTTTCCATAAATACTCTACAAGAATGTGTGGAGTATGTACAGAAAAATATCTATCATCTGTCACAATATTGTTTTAATTCATGGACTTGTATTTTGGGTGAAGTTTAAGTTTAAAGTTCAGTTTAAGTTTTGTTGCCAGTTGCACCTGATTTACAATTGTGAAATAAATCTTCTTGAATTTGATTACAAATGTTTTTGTTGCTCCTCCACCAAAACTACCCCTCCCCACCGCCTTTAATCCCCCAGTTTAGAAGCTCTCAGACTTGAGTATGTTCGCCCCTCCCTCCAGTACATCGTTGTAATACTCGCCCTGATGTTGTGTTGTACTCTCCTCATTACTCACCTGACTATGGCTGACAGAGTCGGGTATTGGCAGCGGTTTGGCAACTCCGATCCTCACCGCTCCCTTCGCAGCACCCTTCAAAGCCTGCACGGCCTGGTCTAGTGAGGCGTGGTCGAGCGACACGTCGTTGACGGACAACAGACGATCACCGGGGATTAGTCGGCCATCCATTTGCGCCACTCCGCCCGGCACCAGAGATCGTATTACGATCACCGTCTCGCTCGGGTTCATTGGGTCCTGTGAATGAAAAGTTTGGTGAATTGATACAACAAAGTAAGGCTTCTGCTGTCGCAAAGATCACTATAGTTTTATTCAGAATATAGATTATAGATTAAACAAGTTACAAGACAATCAAGAATAGTTTAAAGTTTTGAGATCAAAATTTTTAGTGTAAAAAAAAAGTGAAAGGTAACACCCTACCACTAAAACTAAAAAATAAGACCTTTCAAAGCTAAACTTTCAAAATACAAGACACAAAAGACTTTCAGTAGCATTAGAATGTTGCCACAGAGATCATAAAAATAATACAATATGACTATAATTTCACAGATAAAAAATCATGCAACAGCAGCATTGTTAATGATCATAGCAAACGGTCATAGTTAAGAAGAAGATAAAAAATCAAACACATTTCTCTTAGCTATCAAAGTCAAATCCAATGAAAATATCATAGGACTTTGAACAAAAATATGTGATGGATGTACCCAAGGTTCCATTTTTGAGCTTGTTACTTTTTTGTATTCATTTGTTTGAAAATTGAAACGTTAAGTAAAAAATTGTTAAATAAAAATTCCCTTAGTAGTAAAAGATCTAAAAAAACAGTCCCAAGAAACAATTTAAAACTTTGTTTGAACTATGAAACAAATGAAGATGAAATAATTATGTCATATAATTTAGTCTACATGTCAGTATTAATTTGTAACAATGCCAACTATTTATTTGATAAAAAAATACAAAAAATTTTTTACAATAATCGTTGATGCTTTTAACTAAAAAAAACCAATTTAAAAATAGAGACATTTCTAAATTAATTCCAAAATTTCATGAAAAACATTTCACAAACACAAACATTCCAGTCTGTAATTAGCTATTAATACATCACAGCACGTTTCTTTACAGCTGTATTTTTCAACGCACATTTCTATCTAACAAACAAAATTTATGAATCTAAAAACTGAAAATTACAAAATACAATTGACCTCATTAACTTTTCTACTGAAACAAACATTTACACATCTTAACACACTTAAACTGCACTTATAAAAAACATCGGCCACCTAACAATAAGTTGTAAGCTTCAAAACGTTCAAACGCATGCGTTCACCTAGCATGCGCTCCCATCTTATAAGCAAGAGTTCAATACTATTACAATAGCAATAATACGATACCATGCCAATTACGATAAGCCAATCGACTTTACATTCAACACGCAATTTTACTGTAGTCAATTTACCTTTGATCATTTGATGGAATCAGACTTTGAGATCCTTTCAGGAAGAGTACAGTACATCAGTGAATACCCGTAGGTTTTTCACTGGATAAGAATCTTTTGTTTGGGAAAACACTGTAAAATTGATCTCTTGCTTTTAAAATGTGGACAAATATGTAATACTGAGTTAAAAAGATTACCAAAACTTTAAATTAAAATTCCTACATTATTCTTAAGGAGAATAATCCAACTGTTGTAGTTTTGATCAAATTTGGCAAATTTATTTCACTGAAAAACACATTATTACTATCTTTACTATAACAGAAAAACTAAGACCTCATGAAACCTTATTATATTAATTAAGTAGGAAACAAATTTAATGTTTTAAGGAAATATTTTTGTGACAATCCAATTAGGCAAATTGAAATTTGCTAAGTCTGCAGGTTTGCTAAGGCAGGAGTATTTTCTCTATTTTGATTTTCAGATGAATAAATAAATAAATATAAATGTTTTGAAGACAGAAATAAAATGTTAGGCTTATATTTTGGTAAAATACATAAACAGTATTTTAGAAAGTTTGTGGATTTAAATCTAAATGATATTCACACAGATACTATTCATAGCTGACATGAAGCTCCCAAAGTGGAACAGGCTGAGAAAGATGGTTCATTTATGTAGCTTCTTGTTTATTTAATTGTCCAGCAGTTTTTACCTCTATGCTGATTTTCTTTCTTCATTTTATTTTGTTTTGACATAGACAAACCAACACGAGTAAACTCCTCATCCGACTGTAGATTTTGAAGCTGGTTTTTCGTGTCTAGTTCATGTGCGTCGACACTGATAGCTAGTATAGACAAAACTTTGTTTCTTTTATTTTAGGGTTATTTTTATGATTTGTGCTTACTGCTTGGTTATATAACTAGGAGACCAGATATAGGTTGTATTTGATTAAATAAGGTTTTAAATGACTGAAATAACAAGAAACAAATTGTAAACAAAACACGAACTCTACAGTGCAACAAACAGAACTAACAATAAAATTGGCTTCATCTGTTCCATAAGGATGAGAAATCTATTAGTTTTTTTTCTTTGTTTTATGTTTTATCTATGGTTTTGACCCTTAAGGTCTCTTTTATTGGTTCAATTTTCCATTCATAGTTTTCATGTAAGTAGTCCATTTTTTTAAGTTGGCCATTTTTAGGGGGTTTTAAAAATGTTATATCAATTTTTGTTAAGACTTCATAGCCTATATTATGTGATAACGATAACATAATAGTTTTTAATTACATAGTATTTTGTTTCAGTTAGGCTAATTAAAGTTAAATTTTCAATTTAAGTTTATAAACCACAATTTAAAATCTACTCATTGTCGCCATATTACTTAATTACTGCAATACATAGTATTTCTCTCTTACTTTTTTCACATATAGTTTTAGGTTTTTAACTCATTTATACAACCAAGTTCAATGAATTGCTTTTATTTCGCTTAAGGTACAAGAGTAAAGTGAAATGCTCCACGTACATAGAGAAGAAACACAACAAGTTAGAAAGACTTGCCCAAGTTCTCCAAAAATCTAGTTTAATTCTTGTATTTTATTGACATGTAAATCTTTAATAACATATAACACTATTTAACAAATTCAACGCTCTTTTTTAGTATTTTATTTTATTCTAAATCTAAATGAATTTTATATTAACCCTTCATTAGTGTCTTTGATTTTAAAACACGATCGGTGACACAGTTTTTTTTTTCTCAGGGTGTTGAAACATTAGACAATGTTTTTTTAATACATTAACACAAAAATGGATTTATAACATGTATAATCAATAAAACTGTACATCAAATCAATGAAAACCCTCACTTTACGTAATTATAACAATATATAGCAAACAAAAACAACGGTACCATTGGTGACACAAGGAGCTACACTCTGGGAATCCAACACGCAATCGGTGACTGGAGGAGTCAGGCTCCGTGCTACGTGACTCTTCGGGCTTCAAATGATTAATAGAAGTTTTACATAAAGGTGTGAGTTATAAAAAAAATTTCTAACCGAAAACGCTGTGATGTCACTCATGTACGGTTAAAGATATTAAATATTCTACTCATTGTCACTTGTTTAATTTGTCATTGCCATTAGACAAGACTTGTGCTCTGCGACACCAGACCTGACGTAGACAGTGTTGTTGCTGTCTTCTGGTTAGAAAACTAATGCCTAAAAACCTCCTAGACACTGATCACACCTAACATTCTGTTGCAATGGCAATATTGGCGGGGTGGTTCAAGGCTTGTTTCTCAGGCAATGGAACATGTCAGGGACAATTTTCAGCTGTTGTTATATTTATCACCCGCATAGTGTTAAGGTAAGGTTTTGTTCTGTGTCTCACATTCTCTAATATTATCACTTTATGGGGCTAAAAGACTTAAACTACTCTGTTTACAGAATAATCATGTTTGAGTTGTTTGGCTACAGATATCGCTCAGTCAGTATTTCTGCTCAACTCCAACAAGGGATTAATAATTTAATTTACAAGGTTTCAAAAAGTTGTCAAGATTTAAAAACTAGATTTTTGAAGTACTTGGTGCATTAACATTCAAAGTTTAACAAGCACGGTTCAACACTTAAGACTAGATGATATGGCAGATATCAAAATACTGGAAATAACTAGGATTTCTTTTTATATAAATTCAATTTAAAATATTTAATAATACAATATTCACAATAATTAAGTAACAAACTCTTAACATAATCCAACTTTTTTTATTTAACGTTTTCCCAAAAGCTTGTGACAAAATATTAAATTGTAATTGCAGCGCAACAGCACTGTAGCCTTCCAAAAACATTCATGGAATAGACAAACATGTAGAAGAGGTAAAAAAATTACAAAATAAAAATTCCATTCGGAGTTAAAATCTTACATAAGAATGATTTTTTTTTTAATGTTTAGCCTAATAGTTAAACGAAAGCGTAGTTCAATCCAGAATTTTACATTTTATACTATATTAAGAATTACGAGCTATGGTTACATTCAGAGAAGTTTCAACAGCTTACTCCACCAACAGTAAAAGATCAACAACAAGATTTCTAGTATCTAACAACACTTGACAGAATCAACACTCAGAAATAAAATTCAAGAGATTCAGATAAATCTTGGTCTCGGGAGGTGAACACACTTTGCATTGGTGAAGATAGTGTTTTAAGAGGCAAACTAATTCAAACTTCAGTTAAATTTTAGTTTGCACCCTGAGATGGATGGAATATATCCTAAATGTTGGCCACTATCTTCAGCAATCCAACGACACGTCATCTACCAAAGATCAAGATGGCCTCCACGGCCTACTTAGAGCATGGAGGCCTACCATCAAGATAAAAAATCAGTTTGACATATCTTTAAAAAATAACTCAAAACAACAATTAACAAGAAAATAAAAATGATAACGGTTTAATTTGTTTTTGTTTTTTATAGATAAGTTTACCAAAAATTAATATTTTTTTTAGAAAGTGTAAGTGTTATTTTCTAAAGTCATTCAAGTTATGTTTTTATTTTTGGAAATCTAAAACGTAATACATCTACATTGTTTTTGGTTTTCAACAACTATTTGAATTAAATGTTATTATAAAAAAGCTAAATCTTTTGTTTTAACCAAGTTATCTTAAAGATTATATAAAACTTTATCAAAGCTATGCTCGTATACGTGGCTATGGCAGTAATACATTTTCATACAAATTTACTAGTTCAAACATATAACCGCATACAATTATAAAAAGCCATTATAAATGTGTACCAAAATGTATAAATAAACTATTAACTATTATTAAATAGGCCCACAAACTTTTGATTTATTTTACTAACTCTAATCAAACAAAATTTACATTCATAAAAATTATTTCTTAATTACTATTTCTGCTTGTATTATTATACAAAATTAATAGATCGATGTGGTTTGTAAGGGGATTGTTGTTTGTTACTGAAAAAAAAAACTATTTGTTTTTATTAATATAATCATAATATTACATAAAAAAATATTTATATTTTTATGAATCAAGAGGTAAAACTTTAAATATACAATTGGTTGTTTTGACATTCATTTACAAACCTAGGACACAAGTTTTTTTTTATCATAAAAAAGCACGAGGTCAGTTATGCGATAAATGTAACCATTCATACTTGGGTGCCGAAATAAAAAAAAAATATCACAGCAAAGTATATAACACCCTCATCTATAACTTTTAAATTCAACCCAATAATAAAATTAAGGCCATAATAAAACATGCATATATTCTTAAAAATTGCCTGTTAAACTACTAATACTGATAGTTGAATGTAGGTTCATTGAAGAAAATCAATACTGCAGCGGTAATAATTGTTATAAACATAATTATATACATCAGTATATAAATCAATATCATAGTAAAAAAGATGGTTATTTTCTATTAAAAAAGTATAAACATAGTTGTCCAAAGGATTATTTATTGAAAATATGATTGAGTAGACAACCCACCTCATGGATCTTTTTAAAACAGCAAATTGACAGATGGGATCTATAAAACTACAGTAGAACCTCGATTAACCCGGGGCGGATCAACCTTGGTCAATAGATGCCTCTTAAATTATGTCACATAACCTAAAAAATACCAAGAAAATTTAAGAAATAGTGTTTCTTCAGTCTAGTGTGTTGAAATGCACAGTATAGTTTTTTAAACAACACAGTTTCATCTCATACGTGACCGCTGGAGATTAGTTGCAATGCATGCCGCCGAGGCATGCGGTCACCTATCACTTAAGCTGTCATATCGCAGTTAATATTAGTTCAATCTAAAAAAATGTGTCAATCAATTTGTAATTAAATTGCCTTGAAAATGTAATTATTATTTTTTATAAATCAACTGTTTTTGAGTTATTTAAATTGTAAGTGAAACAAAATTGTAAATGCCATTTTGTTTTATGATTTTGGAAAATTGTCATAATTTTTTTGTAGCTTTGTCTAATTGTCATAATTGTTTGTGCAAAGTTTCAATTTCGTAAGTTTAACCAAAGAAAAAAAATTAGTGAATGAAACAAAATGGCAGCTGTGTGAGTGAGTAAGAACTTCCGGACTATTTAATATTTATATATATGTTTCTCACCCAGGAACAATGCTCTAAAATATAGGTAGAGGGCTCCGGGACACCCTGTGTAGTATAAAGGTTTTTTTATGGGTTTGTTATACATGTTAATGGCGTGTTAAATTAACCGTGGTTTTCAGTTATCCATAGTCTCCCTCCCCCTCATTACCCCGCATAATCGAGGCTCTGCTGTACTGTATATCAGAAAAACAAATCGGTGATGAACAGTCTGCCTGAATAGGTTTAAATTGTTTTCCGATTAGTGACTTTTCAATAAACACAGCTGAAGACAACCTGGATAGATACTATATTTCCAATTCCCTTTTTAATGAGTTGTCTACTCAAGTAAATAAATGGATAAAGTTACACTATTGACTTTTAGATACTGAAATAGACATCCCATCTATAAAGACCAGATAGAGCCTCTTTATAAAAAAAGGACCTAGTTCAATGATGAACCACTCTCAGTGTGTGCTAGTCTGAAGTTCTTTTTAACCCTTGGTGTTTTTACAAAGAGATCGTCGATGTGACAGAGAGTTCAGTAATAATTTAATAATATAATTCATTACTAGGGGTTTAAGCTTATAGTCACTCCATTTGATGACACTAGCTGTGGAGTTTAACAAATAATGAGTATGGGTTAAAAAATCACTTCTTGACATTGATGGATGAACAGCGTGCAATGGAATGTCTAGTTCTATCCAAAGTCAAGATTCAACACAACAATATATCCACCACCAGCACCAGTTAGATGTAGAAGTGGTAGGTGCACCGACATACCTGGTAATCGAGAATAGAGAAGCCCAGACCGCGCTCTCCCTTGACCAGCTCGATGATGTGCGGCTCGCTGCTCCACATAGCGAGGCCTGTGAGAGGCTCCAGCGAACGGCTCTTGAGCTTGCTAAGACTGGGCTCAGTGGTGGCTGTGGTGGTGGACGCCAATGAGCCGTCCGATTTGGCTTTGACGAGCCTCTCCATAGCAGGGATTAGGTTCTGCAAACTGCCACCGAGAAGACTCTGCAAACATGCGATGAGTTGACAAGTTTTCACACACTTTGATGAGTGGAGAGTTTTCACAAGAGATATTCAATATGCCGTGTTCGTATTGTTGACTCTAGATAATTCAAAGCTTGTGGGACCGAAAGGTCAATGGTATATTGGAAATATGTCAAACTACCACAAAAGACTGATAAGTCCTTAATACCAGTGTCGTGTTGTGTAATTTATTATGTATCTGTGAGTGATGACTGTAAATTCAGTTCTCCGTTAAGCTAAGCGAGCTAGTTAAAATCTGACACCAGTGTTGTGTTCTTTAATTCATTTACTAATATATTCAATCCCACTCATATACAACAATTGGTCTCTCTGTCATGGCCAAAAAGATATGGGGGAAAATTAACACTCCTGTTAAGTATGCAACATATTCTCAGATAAGAATTCTGTGGGGAGGATTCTTACATATTAAAATACATTGCCAGTAGACAGATTTGTATGCAGAAAAGTGTCTGGAATAGGAAAATACCCCCGCCGCAGCAAACCTGCAGACTAAGCGAATTTCAACTTGTCTGATTACATTTTTACTAAAATATTTCCATATATAAGACATATTTATTCTCATTTTAAATAACACTAGTTGTTACCCACGGGCTTCACCCCGTTTGACTTCATAAGTATTAATAAAACTATTGATTGGTTAGGTTAAGCTGAAATAAACAAAACATACATACAGCTGATGTATTTTAGCGAATTTCCCATATAGGGAATAAGCTATTACCGTAGGTCTCATGGTAAGACCTAGACCCGGGACCGATTTACTTTTTCGTTTTGAGGTCCCCAGAGGCCAAAAACACCATCCGTTCAAATTCATATATATATATATATTTATATATATATATATTTATATATATATATATTTATATATATATATATATATATATTTATATATGTGTCCGTTAGCGCGATAACTCGAGCAAAAATGATCCGATTTTGATGAAATTTGGTACAAACCTGTAAACCTAAATTTATTCTAACGAGTTCGCGAACCAGCATAATCGGACCATGGGATCAGGGGTTTATGGGGGGTTTTATGGGGTAAAAATGTGTTTTTCTCATTTTTGACCCTAAAAACTTTAAATTTCTAAATTTCTCTCTAGACCATTTTGAAGAGCTTAAAAAAACAAACAATTTAGTATATTGAAGTGTTATTGAATGTTCATTGACTACGGAGAAAATTAAAAAAATTGTAAATTTAAAATTCCCATGTTATTCTTATGGAGAATAAATAAACTGATCTAGTTTGCTTGTTTATGGATATATTTTAATCAAATTTGGCAATTTGGTTTATTTCATACTAAGCTATCAATATTTCAATTGAAAAAACACACCTCAACATCTTCCCCGTAGCAGCAAACCTAACTACTCACTAAAATTAATGTTATTTAAATAGGAAATAAATCTGAAAATTTATAGGGAACTAGCTGTAAGCCGCGGGCTTTGCCCCGTTTAACTTCTTAATTTTCAAGATTATCTCGTTCGCATGGCTCAATCACGTCCTGGTTGAAGTTTGTTCGCTACGCTCACTCACCTTTAGGTTGGAGCTCGTTCGCTACGCTCACTCACCTTTAGGTTGGAGCTCGTTCGCTACGCTCACTCACCTTTAGGTTGGAGCTTGTTCGCTGCGCTCACTTGCCTTCAGGTTAGCTCGTTCGCTACGCTAACTCGCCTCCAGGTTGAAGTTTGTTCGCTACGCTCACTCACCTTTTGGTTGCAAATTAGCTGTTGTCATAAATGTAAAAGAAATAATAGTGCTGCACCCTGTTGGTAATCCTTGTAACTTTAATGCTATTGAACATCATAGAACAGAACCAACTTGTTTAATTGAAACAGCTGTTAAGATTCAATAATTCCATTTCTCATAAGGTTAACATGGGAAACTCCAGAGCCACTGGGGCGGAGCCCGAAAGGATTTTTGAAATAAGAATATGCCTATATGTTAATCGGGAATGTGAGCTATCATCATGCCAAATTTCAGCCCAATCCGACCAGTATTTTTCGAGTTTACTTTTCCCATACACACATACAGCAACCACCTCTTTTTTATAATAGTATAGATATTTTAGTAGAAATCAAGCCGGGTAAATGGAAATTCGCTTAGTATGCAGGTTTGCTGCAACGGGGGTATTTAACATTAGGTATATGGAAAGTTCCCTTTGGAAAGCAATTACGACCTTATAGGGCAATTTAAGAAATAATGGCTAATTTTGCGCAGGTTTCTCGTCATGACGAACATTTTAAGTATATGGTTTATGGGGGTGTGACTTGTAGTTTTCTCAAAAGTTCATGGGTACTTTTGGCTTTATATATAGATTTACAATATTAAATTTAGCCATTTGCTTGGAAATTATATTTTCAATCATGATTCAACTAACACGTATTCAAAAGTAAATCAAACAGATCTAATAAGTTCTTACAATCTGTTTTAATTTGTTCCTCCGCCAATGAGATTTATTTTACAGAAAACAGAAGTTACATGGGTAAATGTTTTACCGAGCATGTAAATTTTCAAAAGCACTCTAAGTTACCGCCACTGCTCCGATGTTTATGGGGGTGTGACTTGTAGTTTCCTCAAAAGTTCATGGGTACTTTTGGCTTTATATATAGATTAGATTTAACTAGTGCTTAGGTTTGCTGCTACAGGGAAGGTAAAAAGCGTTTTTCGACCATAGGTCAATAGTATAGGATGAAATAAATAAATTTGCCAAATTTTATTAATATATATCCATAAACAAGTAAATCACAACAGTTTTCATTTTCTCCATAAGAATAACATGGGAATTTTAAATTTGCACTTTTTTGAATTTTCTCCGTAACCATTAGGTATACAACAATGCTTCAATATACTAAATTATTTACTTTTTTAAGCTCTACAAAATGGTTGGGAAAAAAATTCCAAAATTTTATTTTTTTAGGGTCAAAAATGGGAAAAACCCATTTTTACCCCATAAAACCCCCCATAAACCCCTGTTCCGATCATGCTGGTTCGCGAACTCGTTGAAATAAATGTAGGTTTACACGTTTATACAAAATTTCATCAAAATCGGATAATTTTTGTTCGAGTTATCGTGCTGACGGACACAATAAATATGAATTTGAACGGATGGTGTTTTTGGCCTCTGGGGACATCAAAATGAAAAATTAAATCTGTCCCGAGTCCAGGTCTTACCATGAGACCTACGGTAATAGCTTATTCCCTATATGGGAAATTTGCTAATATATGGGAAATTCGCTAAAAACAGCTTTTCTTTGTCAAATTTTCAATTGAGATAGCTGAAATCTATATTCCTAATGGGTCATAAGGCTTTTCTGCAAAATGTGATGGATTAAATAATTGTTGTTCCTTTTTACTCACCCTAGCGGCAAAGGCAGCCTTGTCTTGGGACGTATCAATGAGGCGGTAAGGTGTAGAGTCCGGAGACCTTCGAGCACAGACCATCCTCACATTCACCGGGAGATCCTTCAAGATGGAAACAACCTCGATGTGGTTCATCCCCAGCAGACGGTGACCGTTGACCTATCAAACACACAGCTTGAGGCCTTACAAAACCGTAACTTGAATGGTAAAAGGAATATCTTAGGTTTGATTTTGTTTTGTTTTAAATATCAAGAGCAGGTTTATACAGTAAGACTCACTGTATAAACCTGCTGACGTAACATCATGTGTTGTATATTTTTGTGTAAATAAATTAAAGAAATGTAAATAAATGTCCAATCCCGGGTCTTGTTACTATCTAACATTGACATTTTAAAGACAAATAAATGATTTATTTTCATATAAACATTTACAATTGAACCAGCAAAAATGGGTAAACAGGTGAAATTGTCTCAATTTCAATTTACACAACTTAAAACTACATAAAACAAGGTTTACAAAAGCAAAGGTACAAAGGAATTTGAAATAAATACTGTAGGACTGTAGGTAAGAAATGATCATAAATTGATATAGCTTAGTGGCTAATGGAATCTAGGTCTAGTTACAATATTGGGATTGGACCAGACACCTTCAACTTTGAAGGGGAACTTTGTTTGTTGAGCTTTGGGAACTTGACTACCCAGACCAGGTGGATGTAGAGTATAGTGGCATCAGTTTACCTCTAGCAGTTCATCCCCACTCTTCAGTTGGCCGTTCTGTCCAACGGGTCCCTCAGGTAGGATGGACCTGATGTAGTGATGAGGTCTCACCTCCTGACCGTCCTCCACATCTACAGTACCCTCTAGGCTAATCCCCAGACCTCCTCCTTCACCAAACTTGCACAGCTGTCCTACCTATAACACACCACACTCAGCTCAGCTCAGCTTGGGCTATTTTTGTTAGTAATTTCTTCCTTAATTTTCAACTAATAAATGATTTTGTATTTATCAGACGTCGTTTAAGGGTTAAGCTACTTTACGACAGGTGAGGGAACATACAGTACATGGCAAGAAAATGACAAGGATGGGAAACAATACGGACAAATTCAGAAAAGGCTACACTCGACAGGACACAGAGAGTTAACTGCCAGAAATACTTTTGCTTGAGAGTACAAACGGACAGGCACTTTAAGCAGAATGTCAAAAAATGTTGTTGAGAACTAGTACACATAGCAAACAAAGATCACAATATTGTGGCATGTGAATGGCAGTCAATAAATAAAAATGTAGTCAACTCTAGTAATATGAAGGAATTTATCTTTGTGCATATCAAATTGTACAAACAAATTGTGGCATGTAAATGGACTTTCACACCATTAGGTCAGAGAAGTCAATGATTTCACCCAACACTCACCACTATGTCAACGTCAGGTCCTAAGATCTTGTTCCACTTGGCTTTGATGGCAGCTTCCACTGTTGGCTTGAGAGGACCATCATAATCCTCATCTATCAGCAGCTCTATGTCTTCTACATTGATCTGTGTGATAACAAAATAAAATAAAAAATACTTGATTAAATATGCCACTCTATGCAAATTCATGTCTTGAAATGATTTCTAGTTTTATTGTTTATCCAGAAACAACAAAAATTAGTTTGGTACGACATTGCAAAATAGCAAGAAAAACCGTTTGAACTAAATAAATTGTCTAGGAGAAGCTAGGAAAAACGTCTATACCTGACCCTAGTGTGTCAAGTAAGTATTGAAAAGCAGCCGTATTTGGCAACTGAATTTGGCAGCTGAATGACATGTTATGTGACTTAGCTAAAGAATTAATTTTCCTAGGTGCACTCTCAGAACTTGTCTTTCAAAAACTAAAAAAATCTGAAACTTAATAAGAGGTGTGTGTTGAACCTATGTTCCAATGTAGACCTATACTTAAAATATAACTGTTGTGTTGTCTGGTGATCCAGTGGCTCAGTGGGCAACACAAAGTCAATGATGTTACGTGTCTTTGTACTTGTGCTGCCACTTAAAATTCATCAGTAAAGTGTAGTCTTGTACTAGACCAGCTCACCCCTTTGCTTTGCTTAACACGATCCACACACAGGCATTTGAGGGATTGTCTACTACCTTTACTAACAGAAAGATTGTATGTTGCTGCTCACCTCATGATTTGCTGCCTCAGCCAACACGGCTGAGTCTATGGTGGTCTGTGACTCAGCTTCCGGCTCTACCTCCACTTCTGCTGATTCTCCATCCTATTATTGAAAATTAAAATTAAAATCTATGTACATGACACATCTTATTTCTTAAAGAAATATCAATAAAAAAATGATTAATTATCAACGGTCACATCTCAGTTGTACAAAACAATTTCTCAGTTTTTGTATTTAATGTTAATGTTTGTTAAATTATGTAATTTCATAAAAATGTTCAATTAGCTTGATTTGATTGAATAAATGCTTCAAGAATTCAAAGGACTCCATGAACCTTATCTTTATTTAGACTAATCAAATACCAGCTATCAAATTTCAGCCTTCAGGTCTCAGGCCAAAATAGAGTTGCTTTGGAAAGTATTGTAACTTATTAATTGTAGTACTACAATAGATTAAAAAAATATATATTGTTCACCATCTCCCGAAATAGCAGTGAAATCATTAACATGTTTCACAGTCACAGAAAAAATCAAGAACATCTTTAGGGGCCATGGCGAAATCAGTAATATCTTCCCTAAGTCAGGGTGAGTTGTAAAACCTGTCTGTGACTCTAACCGAACCGGGAACATCTTCATACATCATGACGAAATTTGGAATCAATACTTTGGGGATCTTGGAAAATCTGTGAACATCGCCGCTGATTATAATAAAATTTAAATCATGCATCTTCGCAGACACTTTCTGCATCCTAAAAGTAAAAGCCTGGGTCAGCATGGCTAAAAGAATCTAACCGGTGACAACTATGACCCGACCCGATTATGCCCTAAATGTTATTTCCGGTCCAAACCGAGCCCTGAGGTCATCTTTTAGCCCAACTCAACCTGAAAATATTGGAGACCCACGGACCCCTCTCAACCCTATCTAATATTCATTTATTTATTTAAAGACATTACATCACAGTTTGGTAAACATTTAATCGAGTGTTTAAATGATTTTTTTTTTGTGGTGATAGGTATTTGACAATTTTGACCATCTTATAATTGAGCAATAATGCTTGAAATCTCGAACAGTAAGTGAAATATATTCTCCAAAACTAAATGTAACTTAACCTAAATTATAGGATAAAAGAGTGTCATGCTCACCATACTAAGCTGGTACTTGGGTAGCGACATGGCAGAGGGTGAATTAGGAGTGGGTGGCTTCAGCTGCTGATTAGCGATGGCCTGCTGCAACTGCTCAAACTTGGGACCTCTCAGATACCTCTCCAATGTCAACCTCACACTCTGTCCTGTGGCCCTCAGCAAGTCTACAGCCTCAAAGTTGGAGTAGCCTTGTAGAGACTTGCCATCCACCTGTCACATACCATCAACATTATGTGATGCTCAAACTTGGGACCTCTCAGATACAGCCAATGTCAATCTCACATTCTGTCCTGTGGCCCTCAGCAAGTCTACAGCCTCAAAGTTGGAGTAGCATTGTAGAGACTTGCCATCCACCAGTGATACTTAGTCAACTATGGTTCAAAAACTTGTTTTTGTGTCCTAATGAGTTTAAATTTGAGTTTAAGTAAAAAGATTTGTTAACTTATTTTCATCAAGATTATCTTAAGCTGGAACGCAAAGATAAAACATACCTCTACAATTCGGTCGTTGACTTGAATCTTCTTGCAGAGGTCGGCAGCACTGCCTTCACTGATGCTCTTGACAAAGATACCTGAGAGATCCTCTGAAACAATAAATGAATAAATGAAGTAACAGACAACGTTGACAAATAAACTAAGAGGACATTGTAATTAAATGCCTAGTTAGTTAAATGACAGACTAATTTACATAAGTTTTTGGAAAATCATTCAAAATCCTTATTGTAGTAAGTCAGGTGCCGCAGGGGGATCAGTTTACATAAAAAAGTAAATAGCTACTACTGTACATCAATTGAGCAAAATTTTCTGAGACTAAGTCACAAAACAAATACAAACTTATTCAGCGTTTCTGCGGCACCTGACTTACTACAATAAGGATTTTGAATGATTTTCCAAAAACTTATCCAGCAATTTTCTACAACAACATAAGTGTAAAATATGAATTTATCTACAGAGTCTGCTACAGAGGCAAATTCAGTGATGTTTACTAATGTCATTGTAAAGTACGGTATAATGAAATAAAGAAATACTGTAGTCAAAACCAGTTGAATCGTTCACTTAGCAAATCGCAGTTCACAGATAGAACAAGATTTTTTTACAGAAAAACTTCCAGCTGTCTTCACTGACACCAAAACTCTCAATGAAAAACTCTAAACATATCAGCATGAAAATAGTTCTGACAAACTATAACTTTTCTGGTAAAAAAACATGTTAGCATTTACAATAAATTATTAAAACTGTTTTTGGGACTATCGAAGACCCAAATAAAATTTATGGGATTTTTCTGGAAGATAGAAAACTTTTCTTTGGTGTTTGGAATTTTCCTGAGAAATTGGGTTTTATAAGAGGGGAAAGTGGAGGTTTTTCTGGGAGAGTGGGGATGATTGGGGAGCTGTCATCGCCCTGTATAAAAGAATTTCTTACCAACTTAAAAAAAAACTCCACTTCTACCAACCTTTCTCGCACACATATCCGGCGATGGTGATGCCGAGACCATGGGTATCCTTCTGTATCTCAACCGTGAACTTCTCCATCTCCGGCAGCTGTGTTTGAGGTGGCAGCATGTCTAGGGTGAGCAAAGGCAGGGAAGGGGCTGTGATTAGAGGCATAGGGGTGGTAGGGAGCGGCGGCCGCACTACGTCCATCACCTGTAGGGCGTCTTGACTCTGTCACAAAAGAAATTGTTGTAGTGATGTGTCGTTGATGTAATGTACCAGCTTTGGAAATGGATAGACTCATTGACTTTTGGATACTGAAGCAAGCTTCCCCTTTATGTGGACCACATATATTCCCAATTATTTTATTTAAAAAAATCATAGTTGAATGTGCTACAGTCTAAAATTTCATTTTAGAAGTTAGCCTCCATATTACGTTGAATATATGAAATTGGTGTAAATACCTGCTTTGTAGTAATCCTAATTGTTGCAAGTGTCGCAACTAGTTTAGACTTTCTACATAGTCATCTTCAGGCGTCAAGGATGTCAAAAGGTTGGTCATCATATGAAAGTCGGCATTTCACACAAAGTACATCAAAACACGAACTCGAACATTAAAATGGTAAAAATGGCACATTTAATTGTGTTAACACAATTTAATTGTGTTAAATGTGCTGTTTTCACAATTTTAATGTCCGTGTTCGTGTTCGTTTTTTTTATGTACTTTGTGTGTAATGACAACCTTCATTAGAAGTGACCGCCTTTTTGACATCCTTGACGCCTGAAGATGACTTTGTAAAAAGTCAAAACTAGTTGTGACACTTGCAACAATTAGGATTACTACGAAGCAGGTATTTACACCAATTCCATAGTCTAAAATTAAATTCTCCTCCTTAGTGTTTGTTACATAGGTAGTAGATGTGACATAAAATATGCTACAGCTTAAAATAAGTTGTCTCATCAGTTTGTCTTGGTTATAAAGAGGTGGTATGTTCCAGGGCAATCTTTAATTTACATAAGCGATGTTTAAAGTTTGATGGTGGCTTGATTCAACTGTCTCCTTCTTGATTCAAAAACTGGCTACATGGGGATGAAGTATCCTGTGAGTCTCTTGTATCTAATATGGCCTACCTGTACTTTTTTAAGGTAAGCTAACTGCTATCCTCTTCATTCTACAATTCAACATCCTGGCCTAGAGCCTTTCCTTGAACAAAACCAATTATATCAATAGTCAAAGATACAACTCATTCCCGTGATAAAGGTGTAACCATTTCAGGATAAAATCAATCTAGTTGAATGAGCCACTGACAGTGTGCTGATGAAAATTACTGATTTGTCAAAAATAAAAAAGCCAACTTGTCATAGCCAACTTATCAATCCAAACTGAAAGGACAAATTATTTTTAACTCATCTTACAAACCATGTCAACTATCAAAGTAATCAAGGCCATAATCTGCTACTACAGAAACGTCCATGACCATACTCCTCAATCACAAAGTCTATTGAAGGTTTGGCCAGTGATGTAGTTTACCTGTAGATCGACGTAGTTGTCGTATGGGATGGTGACCTCGGGATATCCGTTCTGCACCAGATGTCTGTCCAACTCTTCAGGGTCTCCTAGGAGCTTGGTAGGTACTATGGGGGCATGGCTGTCCAGGGCCTACACACAATACAACAACATTAACAACTGGAATACTCTTCAAAGTCACCTCATTTGTAAAAAGCTGTAACTCATTCGTATTCGTAAGATAAATCACTTCTTCCTCATGAGTGGGCTTGTTGCTCTCCAGTAGAATAGTTAGATACACAAAAAGTACACCAAATAACAATACTTTTTACATCAAGAAATGTTAGTATTGCCCCCAAACTGGTCACATCACTATTGCAGTTTAATTACCTTCAGTCATCCAGTTTTACTAAAGTGGTTTTCTTGCAACCTATCTAATGCATTGGTATCTGCATTGATAAAGACAGACACACCAAAGAAACAAAACTTATTTCATAAGTTAACTAGCCAAGACAAGTCACATCTGAGAAACAAATAACTTGAAAGCTGTTGGGGTATATTGTCTCTTGATACATCTGATTGGATCGGATTTTATTTACAGATAGGACAATTTTCACTTTATTCATTTCAAGTTTGTGTCATGTGGACTTTATGTAGTTTGAACAAAACTGGGCACAACAATGGACTGAACATATTTTATACTGGAGCCTGATGATAGCACAACAATGTGCTGAAACCTAAAATGAAAGAAAAGAGCTACAGAACTGGATTATTGAAGCTGACTAAACTATTAATTACTAGCTGACTAATAGAAACTTTTTTTATTAAACATTTAATTGAATTTATTACTCAGCATAGACCCCAATTACCTGGTATTCTGGCGATGTTGGTTCGACAGGACGAGCTACCACAAGTCTCACATGACTGCCAGACTGACGGAGCACTGCTGCCACCTTGACAACAAAATATACAGTTTAGCTTACTAACATCAAATGACCAGGTATAAAACAAGCATTTATATAACATTACCATTTGGCTGATGAAGGAGATATCCTTATCTTTATCAACCAGCCCTAGCAAAAGAATTATTGAAAGACAAGACGCTTGAGTGAGTCTGATGAAAAATAAATTTTGGTGTTCCTCAAGGTTTAAAGGTTGGACCATTCTTGTTCCAAGTTTATGTCAACGATTTGTTTTTAAATGTAAACCTATCATGGCCAAATAAGTCAGTAACACTTACTCTGTAACTAAATTTTGTTACAAACTACTAGTATTATGAATTAAGATGTGGACACAACTGGGTGTGTTTGAATTAAAATATGGGTGAAGGATGAGTGTGGAATGGAGTGAGATGCCTTGTACAGCTTTGTTACTGATTGAAACCGACTTTGACATCTCACTCATCTTAATTTATCTTCAATTCACTTTCCAGTTAAAATTGGCTTTAGATGTGACCCCTTATCACAGTACTAAGAAAGTGATATTGATAGAGGAGTGAGATGTTAGATGGTTAAAGCAAAGGACCTGTTGAAGATGGAAAGTTTGAGGAGGCCTAAATCTTAAAATAACCGGAATTAAAGAGAATATGGGCTTTAAAACTGTCGAGGTTCATCTACAGTTATAGCTTTAGCCACCAAGCTGTAATACTGCACTGTACTTTACCTGCTCACTGCCCATCCCTCGGAGATTGACTTCTCCAATCTGCAGAATATGATCTCCACTCTGCAACCTGCCATCCTGCAAACAACGATCATATTTCAATACACATCATCATTGCAACATCATATTTATTATTTTACTGACAATTTTGAACCACTCATGTCATTTAACTGTGAATGGCGGTTTGTTGAGCCTTCCTTGAACGGTAAAAAGACACTTCTACCGTTTTACAAAACCCGCTTTTCACGACAAACCCAGGTGGTGGTAGCATCTGTATACAGCATCCTTTGCATACATTGTCCAAAATAAATTGATATTTTACAGTTGTTCCATGTAGTCTGTTTCCTCCTCTGAAATCACTCTTCCTGCCTTTTGTTTTTGTTTTTTGTGTGTAGTTTGTGTTCGTCTTTTGGTGTTTAATTTTCCATTTCAGTTTTTTTTATCCTCAATTTTGATTCACCACATTATATATAGACTTGCAACAAAATCATTTGGTTGTAACACTGTTAAAATCAAAATGGAAGTGTGACAACTGATGCTGCAAAGTTTTATACAATCAAATGAGTGTGTCACAATTATATAGTGCCATAATCCTAACTTGAAATATGTTTCTCTCTGTAGCTTTATTCTTCACCACAGCTGTTCCAGACACTAAGGCGAGATAAAGCCTTTTGGATTCAGCCTTCAACATACAACTTCTCATTTAGATAAAGAGTTTTAAAATTCATCAATTCATATAAGAACTAGGCTAGTTTTTAAAAGTAATTTTCAAAACTGTTGCGACTAAAAAGTCCAAAAGCCCCCGATTGTTAATTTTTCTTCCTAATTAACAAAGCCAATAAGGTAGCTTTTTATTTGTACTGTTTTTGCTTTTGACACTACAGATACTGACAACAGGATGCCAACAACAAAATTATCAACATTTTTATACACTTTTCATAGTATGAGTGATTATCAACTGTGGATACATATTGGTATTTTTTCAAAAGGTTTTTTATTTCTTTTCAACATACTCTTTGAAGTTGGAAATTATGACTAAATATCAGTTTTGTGACCTTTTATTTTGTATGTATTAGTGCCTTAACTAAATTTTTTATGTAAGATAGATGAATTTTATTCCTTTTCAAAACATCCCTAACCAACCACTGGACTTTCCTTTGAAATGTATTTAATTTGTTTTTAACTTAACTGGTAAACTTTGATAGAATAACTCAAACCATTTTATATCTATGTGATTCAACTGTAAAAGATATATTCTATTTAATCATCATAAAATAGGAAAATTAACAGAAAAGTACCTCATAGATCTAAAATGTTGAATTCACTCTAGAAAACAGTGACAAAAATCCAAGAGAACCCATTTACAAGTTGAGCAAAGAACGAGCTCACGACCAACTGACCAACTCTCAGGAGGAACGGTTTTCAACATCAGTCGTTTGTTGTTTGTATGAGATGTTTATACTCAGGTCCTCTTGTGTACCAAGCAGTTGTTTGATGTTGTTACATTCTGTATACAGACATTACTTCACCAGCTATTCCTGTATTGTGTTTCTTCCCCAGTGTCGATCAAAGAATTATACGGTTTACAACAAAAAACTTTGTAACCTTACTCTGACTTTACACTTTTACTCTTTCTCTTAAGTATTATAATTCACGGTAATAGCCTCAAAACTGTAATCATGACTAGTAAATTTTTTACAATACCTATCATGCAGTTCCAATTATAAGAATTATGTTACATATTTTCTACATTAGAAGTATAGTAAAAAGCCATTTAGTACCTCTTAAGTCTTTTGTTTACGCGTTGTGCTTTCTATTGGACTATGATTTCTTACAGAAATACAAAAGCGTTGCAATAACAGTGGGTATTTCTTGCTTTACAAAGATAAAATTTAACATAACTGATAAAAAATCAGGTTGTTGTACCCCCTGGTCCCAAAGCTGTTGTATCAGTTTGTTTTCTGATTCATTCTTCAGGTTATGTGGCAGTGTGTTAGTGATCAATCGTCCAGGTAGAAGGTTTTTCAGCCAAATTGTGTACTATGGTGGATAGGAAGACTGATGTCAGTAGTTTCTAGTATGATAGGAATGGAATCTGCATGAATTTAGAAAGATGTAACAGTTAAAAGCTTTAGCTATTTATAAGCTTCTCTGCAGCTGTCAGTAGGGGTAAGTTGTATAGTGCCCTTATAGCCTCTTATGGATAACCAGGGTTATCAAGGTTCATCTCTACTACGACACCTGACACTACTACTCTACTTTAGCATTGCTGGGGGAGCAAGCTGGTCTAGTGGCACAGTGTAGGACTTAGTCCCTGAGGTCCTGGGTTCAAATCTCACCAATCACTAATGTATTTCTACGTTCTATCTAACGTTCTAGCATCTGACACATACCCTGTCTGCCACACCTCCAGGTAGAATGGTCTTGACCACCACACCAGTACTGCGACCTCCGATGATGCCGAACCCCAGTCCTGACCCATCGTTGACTAGGTCAATAACCTCTACCTGCGCCCACTCTGTGTTCAGCTAAAACATTACGAACAAATTTGAAATATTTTTACCTATAATCTACTAGAAAACAGAGGACAAGTCCAAACGTAATTTCAACACTTTCAACAAAATTTTTCAATTCACTTACAGTAGATCCATTCTTATTTCATGATAACCACAGCTACACATTTTTTAGACTGAGTTGATAAATATTTCAACACAATAAAAAACTATAATCCAACATTAAAATTGGAAAAATTTTAATTGTGTATGTAAGGGATCTAAATTTTGAAGAGGCAGGTGATAGAAGAGAATCCTCATAAAAGTTTCAGTGGTCACGGAGGTAAGATAAGGTACGGTAAGTACATATAAATAGAACAGTATGCAATAATTAGAGGTGACATGTAGCTATTCTACTCAAAACCAGTGTGAATCGGTCGCCAATCTCACTTTAAGATTTTTCAAATCGACACAAATGCTGTTTTACGGTAAAGTTATCGGATTTAAAATGCATATCGCCATATTTTAGGTCTATATTCGAATGGAATAAATAGGTGGTCACGTTACATTTGTTTATAAGGTGATCTTCTCCATTAAAACCTGCCAGAATTTGTGTCTATGCGTGTAGATGTCCCGAATCATTCCGTTTTAGTTGACAACTCGATTCCCGTACGTAGGACGGGCCACCAGCTCGTCTAAATTTAAGTTAAAACAGGGACAACATCTCCAAGGGTCAGAAAAAACTGGAGTGGTGAAAGAATAGTGGAATCTGACTAAGAAGAAACTGGCACACAAATAATTAAAGTACTTTTTAAATGAACAATCTTTACTTAGCCTCTTTCTTTTAAGAGCTTTGCGTCTAATGACGGTAACATTTTCCACACAATGACACAGTAATTTTTACCAGAAATAGGCATATAGTTAAAGTGACTTACTCATATAAACAACAGTTATTCTACAAACAGCTCATATTAGAAAAACTCAGTTAAGTTGTATGCAAACCAAATAAACACAGTAAGTTAGATGAGTTTCATGAGTTCTAAAGCCAAACAAAAGCTTATAATACAGACTAATCCCACTTACAAATAACACATGAAACCCTGTGTAATTTCTTGTCCCTTGAGTTTTGAGGAACAATATGCTGTATTTATCCACATTCTATTCTCAGTACATTTTTCATAATGATGTACTGTACTTTTTCTTGATGTAGACTTTTTTCATACCTTTGAAAAAAATATGTTTTCATTTGGAAATGAGTTACAAGTCTGAAAGGCGATTCTTAAGAGATAAATAAAAATCAGTCAAATATTTCTCTCGGCGTTTCACTTTGGCAAAGTCAAAGCCTGACTTTCTTAATTCCTTTTCTTGATTGTAAGAAAAGTTTCTCAAAGCACTGAGGGCTTTTCCAGTTGTCCCCGACCACAAACTCATCAAAATCTGTCTCAATGACTTGACTTCCAACTTCTATCCAATATTTATTAAAAAAAAAGTTTAAAAATGTAACCTCGAGCACTGTAACACAATGAACTACACAGTGGAACGAATAAAATATAGTAATTTTGCTTACGATGACTAATCTTGTAGAATTTTCACAAAGTCATAGCTTTTACTAGGATGTTATACTATTTAGTATAATGCTATTTAGTATGTATTTAGTATATGAATGCATTACACTTTGTTGCTCTACAAAAAAAACTTATTTACTTACAACTTATTCACACTAAATAATATACTTTGTTTGATTGCAAAGGAGACGCCAGAATATTTTTTTTACTGGATGAAATTTCCAGGTGCAGTCAATAAATAATCCTTGGGTCTAAAAGTATTAAACAGGGTGTATCTGTGAACTCGTTACACTTAAGAACAAGATGGGTGCGCTATTTGAACTTAAAAACATAAGAGCACTTGACATCAAGAGTGCACTCTCTGCTCTTGAACGTCAGATATGTGTTTTTTACGCAATTTAGAACAAGATGAGTGTAATTTTTACACTTGAGAGCAGGATGAGCACAGGTTTTGCACTTGAGCAGCACAAGACGAGTGGACTTTAAGGCAAGATCATTGCTATTTTTGCACAAATCACCACTTACCATGTCAGAGCCAGCTTTGGAAGAGTCGGATACGGCGCTGGCTGGTCGTGGCTCTGGACAGTCGTAGTGTGCGATCACCAGCTCCACCAGTCCTCTGGCCTTCTGCAGTATGTTGATGGCCTGGTAATGAGTGATGTTGGAGTCCAGGGGTTGTCCATCGATGGCCAGTATCTGGTCACCCTCGTGCAATCTCCCATCTCTGCAACCAGTTGTGTGGTCAAGTTGGGAAGGTGTGAAAACGGCTTTGACACTCTGCTTTTTTCGGTTTTTATCTATATCTATGGGCGACCAGTGTTTTCCAAGTCATAACTCGAGAAATAACTCATTGGCTTAAAATACACACATTTATATGGTCACCATTTCAGAATAAAGTATTAATGAGTTTTGAACATTTCAAATTAGATTACGAATAAGTTACAGTTTTCTATTATAGCATCAAAATTGTAGACATGTTTCACAGGTACAGTAAAACTGTTTGTTGACGTCTCTTGAAGTCTCAAAAGGTGTTCTCTTGTAGTATCTTCACGATCAAGAACATCGGCAAACAAGTCAAAATTGTGAACATCTTCCAAGTTTACGCCCCTCACTCATGCAAACATCATCATTTTCTGCGATCACGAACAAATCTTGAGCCGATTAGTCAGCCTGGTTATTTAGGTTGCTGAATCTATCATTAGAAACTTCACCGTATATTTAAACGTGAAGGGGGTTTTGCCCAACGATTCTGAGTCAACTATTTTACACAGTTATTCTGTTGAAGAAAAGTAATTTTGAGAGAAAGGTAATGTGGAAGTCATAATTTTAATTCTATAAGAAGTCTAGCAGCTGATGCTAACTATTTAATTGAAAATCTGTTTTAATTTACTACTTGATCTGTGTGTAGGACAGGCCTGCAGCTAGTTAGATCCTAAGATTTGTCATTGTTCATGAAAAAAAAAAAAAAACATTTACAGCTCATACGATAAGTTAGGTAAAATATAACATCCGCTTCCCTATCAAGATGATATCATTTTAAGTTATAAATGAGAGGAGTAAAATCCATTTAAATAATCAAACTTTTACCATACTTCACTCCAAGTTCCCTAAGTGGATTAAACTAAGCTGGCACTTATCTGATAAATTGATGTTGCCTTAGTGTTTGTCCAGTTAAAACTGACTATTCTGTGTATTTAATTTATTAAAATTATAACATACTACTGATTTTAGGTAAGTATTAATTATTAATGACTGCAATCATGGTAAAACTGTTATCAAGCTACCTCAAACTCAAACTCTTTATTTGTCACAAACCTTTCTTTTTGTTCCACCACAGCAGGTAAAATAAGATATAATAAAAAAACTTAGAAATTTTAACTTAATTAATACCGGTAATCAATAGAATTTCCATGTCAGTTATAAACAATGTCAAAGTATCAGAGAGAAAGCCATTTGTACGATAGTACAACCATTCCAGTATTAAAAATTTTTTGTTATTAACTTAACTATGACAATTAATATCTTAAATTTTAATAGGCATTTCTTTGTAAGGCTTTTATCCAAAGAAAGGTGAATTTGTTTAACTTCATCGAAGTATGGTAAATTATAAATTAAAGAAGTTCTACTGTAGTGGGCTATAACAGTAAATACAACAATATTAACATCACTATATATAATAAACTCAATTGTATCGTCACCTTGTTATTTTTTTATATTTTTTTTTCATTTTGTATTATTTTAGTAAGGAATATTTTTAAAGTAGCAGGCAAAGTCACTAAAGAATAAAAATTTGCCATCAAGTAAGACATCAGACGTAACTATACTTCAATTAATAGCTGAGTTTTTACTTGTTTGTTTGATGGTTTTTGGGTTTACAATATGCATAAAAAGAGTTATAACTGAGATATTTAAGGCCCTTATTTAGTGTGAAAGGGTTGTATGTGAACGTATAATTAATAAGTCCCCCAGTGTGAAGGCCCGCTTTAGCCTTTAGTAAAATAATACTGACAGTTAAGTAGCTTAACTGTGATATAGCCTTTATTTACTTTTTCTCAGCTCTAATTCAAAACATAGTCCAGCTGTTGACTGAGCCAGATTCTAAAACATCTGTTGCTGATTCCAGTCGTCAAAAGCTAAAATCTGAAAATCCTGTTTCAAAGTTTTCATAACTATTTTAACTTGAATAGTTTTCACATGCAATCAACTATGAAAGTTGATAAAAGTAAATATTTAAACAACCGATATGAATATTCAATGAATAGTCAAAATACAATATCGTAATTGACATCGTCGTAAGAAGAAAATATAGGATTATTACTGATAAGTTATATTTAGACTAATGGAATTTGACATAAATTAAATTTACTTATAAAAATAAAATGAGACAATGGGCTTCCAGCAATTAAACATCACAATTTTATAGAATGTGAAAACTCTACAACTGTAAATTGCTAGGGTGAAAAAGGTATACATTAATAAGATAATTTTCCCATGGTTAGATCACAGATAAAGAAGGCTTGACCAATCATAAAATAAAATAAACCTTAAAAATTGAAAGACTTAACAAACCTAATCTGGAAAGATGAATGGTACAAAAAACCTTAAAAAAATCACAGATGGATAAATCATAACTCAAGGATGGCAAAGTTTTGAATTTAATGTTTACTATAAATTTATACTCAAATATTAAAACATACTAGTATATTTTACTTTTATATACAAAAGATAGTTGTATACAAAAATACCCCCGCCGCAGCAAACCTGCAGACTTAGCGAATTTCCATCTGCCTGATTGGATTTAAACTAAAATGTCTCCTTAAAAATATCACATTTATTCCCTATTTAAACAGAATTAGTTTAATGAGTACTTAGGTTTGCTGCAACAGGGAGGGTAAACAAGTTTTTTTTAATGTAAAATATTAAAAGGTACTGTGGTTTAGTAAGAAATTAATGTATTTTCCAAATTTGATCAAAATATGTTCATAAACAAGCAAACTACAACAGTTGACTTATCCTACTAATATTATAAATGAGAAAGTTTGGATGTATGGATGTATGTATGGATGTATGTTTGTGACAAGTGAACGCGAAAAATACTGGTCGGATTGGGCTGAAATTTGGCATGATGATAGCTCACATTCCCGATTAACATATAGGCATATTCTTATTTCAAAAATCCTTTCGGGCTCCGCCCAAGTGGCTGTGGAGTTTCCCATGTTAACCTTATGAGAAGTGGAATTATTGAATCTTAACAGCTGTTTCAATTAAACAAGTTGGTTCTGTTCTATGATGTTCAATTGCATTAAAGTTACAAGGATTACCAACAGGATGCAGCACTATTATTTCTTTTACATTTATGACAACAGCTAATTTGCAACCAAAAGGTGAGTGAGCCCAGCGAACAAACTTCAACCTGGAGGCGAGTTAGCGTAGCGAACGAGCTAACCTGAAGGCAAGTGAGCGCAGCGAACGAGCTCCAACCCAAAGGTGAGTGAGGTAGCGAACAAACTTCAACCAGGACGTGATTGAGCCATGCAAACGAGATAATCTTGAAAATTAAGAAGTTAAATGGGGCAAAGCCCACGGGTTACAGCTAGTTCTCCATAAGAATAACAAGGGAATTTTAAAATTACAATTTTTTTAAATTTTCTCCGTAACAATTAGGCGCATAATAACGCTTCAATATACTAAATTATTTGTTTTTTAAGCTCTACAAAATGGTTTAAAAAGAAATTGTGAAATTTTGTGTTTTTAGGGTCAAAAATGGGAAAAACCTATTTTCACCCCATAAAACCCCCCCTAAACCCCCGTTCCCATAGTCCGATCATGCTGGTTCGCGAACTCATTCAAGTTTATCCCGCCTTACACCTTCAATCCAAATTTTATCAAAATCGGACAAAAATTACTCAAGTTATCGTGCGGATGGACACACATATATATATATATATATATATATACATATATATATATATATCTCTATATATAGATATATAAAAATTTGAACGAATGGTGTTTTTGGCCTCTGGTGACATCAAAATGAAAAAGTAAATCGGTCCCGGGCTTAGGTCTTACCATGAGACCTACGGTAATAGCTACTTCCCTATAGGGAAATTCGCTATAAAACTGTTTCATAGAGCTTATTTTAAGTTAAATAACATGTACGTTATCACATATTCGCACTATCAAAGAAATACCTAATTAACATAAATAATTTATGATTAAACCGGAACCCAAATTAACCGAAACGGTTCCATAAAATCATACAGGGCTAAAATATAAGTAATATGTAATGTAAAATGCTTCCGTAACCTCAGTTATTTAGTTTAGAGTATTATCCAACCCATTTAAACATTACATTAGCTGAAATAAAACTGTATTATATAGACATTGTATTAAATTCATTTTTCCTACACACCCTGGTAATAAATCGGCTATTTTTAGCATATGACGGGTTAACCGAAAAATTGGTTATCCGAAACGGCTCTCCCCCCTTTATTTCGGTTAACCGGGGTTCTACTAGATATTTAAACTCTATTTTAAAAATTAGAATCTAATTCCAATTACTTATTACGATTTATATTGCAAAAGTTTCCATGAGAAAAATCCCAGAAGATGCAGAATTTAGATACTCGAGTGATTGATACAGTAATATGATTACAGAATCTGAACCAATCTACCTCAGACCAATCTACTTAACTGGCAATCTTACAAGAACTGAATTTCTGCTACCAATATACGATCTGCAACATGGACAAGTTTTGTTTAACTGCTACAGTTTTCTTATACTTTTCAAAAATAGTGTCACTGTTACAGTATTTTTACATTAAAATTATATAGCTTTTAGTACGGTTCATTCTTTACATATTTCCAATGATGTTGTCTGCACATGTTGTATGCATAATACTTTAATTGCATCCTTTAATTGTTCAATTAAATGTAATTATTAAATCATTCAGTTTCCATCCTGTGTATGCACTAACGTTAACATAGTTAATTCTTTTCACAACCAAACTTTGGAAAATTATTCTGAAGATTAAGACCCCAATATGTGATTTATTTTATTTAACCATAGGAAATTCATAATTTAAAATCGCATTAATTTATGTTGAAAAGGAACTTAAATAATGATAAATGAGATAATCTACCCCTAACTACAGTACTTTGGCCTGTTGACATATTGTAGCGTGATGACTACTTTAATGCTTTCCAAATAAATACCAATAA